GCAACGAATTGTGGGGACACTGAAAATGGTGGCTGCTTCCAGGAGGCATGGCAAGCAGGCCTGAGCACTGCAGGTCACATCAGGGCAAGATGGTGGAAAGAGAGACAGTGGGTGCTGCAGCAGCTCTGTGGTCTCTTACAAGGGCACTGCAGCTGTTGTAACTTTGAAACATGGTCACATATCGTTTTGGGTTATTGGTCGTAACTTTGAACCATTGTTAAGTGGCCTGTCATTTCTTGAGGACTATCCATTTAAAGATCTTCTAGAAATAGCAGCTAAAAATCATTCTAAAGGGAGCTGGAGTTTTGAAAATTCACCTTAAAAGTGAGAAAAGAGCATAAAACAACATGTCTGTTACAAAACTAATGAAAAATATATTTATTTTGAATATATTTTTCTTCAGTTAATCCAATTTTTTTCAGCCTTAACATTGAATACAATGTAATTTGGGGATAAATATATTTTTGTTACCTATACCCAGAAAGCATACTCTTGGACTTTGTGGATTTATATAATCCTTATTTTATTTCATGATAATTCAAATATAAAATATTTAATTAGCAACATTTTCAGTTATTATTTTTCTTCTATTTCTTCCTTAGCTTAGTTGTTCTGTTGTATGTAGAATTCAGAATGTTGCTATACACTGGAATAGCAGTATATAGACTATGTTGTAACAATAGATTTTGTTCAGTTTTTAAATACAAGCAATTTGCATTCATTAGAGAACATACTTTAACAGAGAGAATAGGTATGAATGGAAGATAAAATGATAACAACTGTAAGCACAAATTTCAAAGTGGTCACAATGGTTGCAGAAATTAAGGACAAATGAAAATGGGCAAGCCCATCCAAAAGAGAGAGCTGACTTTCTGTGCCTTTAAAAAGCACAGAAAGAAAAACCAAAGATATTTCAGATTTTGTTTTGGTATCTCTGTACATATATTTGACTTATTCTTGAGTCATGACAGTTGGTGGAATTACTTTGTTACAGCTTTTGTCTTCATCAACAACAACAACAAAACAACATAATACTATTTAGAAGTTTTTGGACTTCTTATAAACTTTCTTGATTCATTCCGGTCTGCTTTAACCATAACACTTTTGTTAAGCCCCTGTGGCTTGCCACTAACGGGAGGGGGACAAGATCGTTGGATGGAGGCGTCCAGAAGCAGCAGATGGGACCAGCAGCAGAGATGGCAGCGACAGCCCTTTCCCTCCCTCGTACCTGTATGCTGGAAGGGGGAACCTGCGGAACGTGACCGTAAGGCTGTCCCGCCGAGCAGCTGATTGTCATGGAGAAACGGCGGGGACCTGAAATCCTGCCTTGCTTCCTTACTTTGCTGCCATACCAGTGCTCACGCCAGATGCTGGCGAGGTGGGTGGGGCTGGCCGGAAGGCATCTATTTAGAGTGCTGGGAGGCGGTTGCTCCCAGCGCTGACTTCGTTTGCAAGGATCTCTGACGGCTTTGCTCTCTAAAGCCCTACTTAGTTCAGCATTTTCTGTGAATCAAAGATCAACTAGATGCCTTCAGAAATTTACAATTTCTGAGAAGGTAATAATAAACCTTTTTCCACTGCTTCTGTGTAGCAACTTGTATTTACACTATGCTGCCTGTTATTTACCATGCTTGTCATTGAGGGTTCAGTAAAAGCCATCAGTGTTGCCCATTGACATTTCATGTAAGGAATGAAGCTTGTAAACAACACTAGTAGAATCACTGTGTAAGTATAGACCAGATGCATTATAATCTCAATCCTGGTAAAAGAATGGTCAAGAGTCTGCTGAGTAGAAAAAGTGTGAGGAAAAGATTTCAGATTCAAACTCTGAGGAAGCTCTGAAAACTTGATTTCACTATTCTGCCTCCATCTGCAATTAACTATTATTGTGAAATCTATTAGCTTCAGTAATTATATAGTTACTGAATATGGATTATGCTTCGGGAGATAAGATATTTATGTCTGAAGTCTGACAACTGATTTCTCCATGATTTAGTCCTACTGCCTTTTAAAATTATCTAAATTGGGATTCATCTTTAAATCCAGTGCAGAGCTGTCTACAATGTATAAAGAAATGCTTCCTCTTCTATCTGAAGATTCCCACATTTAATATTCCTTTAACATTGTTAGAGTGGAAGAAAAACTTTTCACATGGTGCAGGATTTTGTGTTCCACCATTATACTGTCTTTTTTGACTAAAATTTCTAATCTCTTTAGTTTCATAAAGTTGCTGTTGCAGCTTCAGTGATTTTGATTACCTTTTTTGGCACCTTTTCCAGTTCTGTAGTATAGTAACAGGAAAGGTAATAGGAGAAATTAAGTGAATCCATTCTTCTGAATGGGCATTTTTTACCAGAAACTGGCAGAAAACATTGGAAACTGACAAAAAATGTCATCAGGTGACCACTGACCCTGCAATTGGTTGCAAAAGTGTGCCAGTTTGAGGAAGGAGCTTTTTAAAAATACATAATAACTGAATGGCAGTTGATGACTATCTATATATTGGCCTCATGGCTGCAATAAACTGACTTAATTTGATGGAATCATTGAATTCAATAATAATTGAACAATGTTTAGTAGACAGCAGTGTATCAATTTGATCAGTAAAATTAAATTTAGAATCAAAGTGCTTAGAACAGCGGTTCTCAACCTGTGGGTCACGACCCTTTTGGGGATCGAACGACCCTTTCATAGGGGTCACCTAAGACCATCGGAAAACACATATTTCCGATAGTCTTAGGAACCGAGACACCGCTCCGCATCCATGTCCGCACGGCCTCCTCTGCCATTTGCAGAGAGAGAGAGATAGAGAGGCACTTTTGCTTCCCTTCTCTCTCTCTCAGGCAGACTTACCTCCTGCAGGGCTCCTGATTGGCCCTGTGCCCGGGTGCCCCAACCCCTGGGGGAAGCGCGGCCAGGGCCTCGTGCCTTGGAGCTGCCCGGGGAAGCCCCAGGAACCCTGCTGGGAGTGGCCCGCTGGAGGCGCTGCTGAGCAGGCCAGCCCTCCCGCAAGCCGCGGCCCAAGGGAGACCAGCCCCTGCGATCCCCAGCCAGCCCGACCATTGGCCGCGCTGGCTGGGAAGGCGCACCAGAGTCCAGGCTGCCGGGAAGGAAGAAGGAGATTCAGCAAAGGTAAGAGGAGAGCTGCCTCTCCGCTGGTGGTGGCTTCCTTGCCATCCTCTTCCTCCTTTTCTTCCTCCTACTGCCCCCAAGGCGGCTCGGGCGGGTGCCGGGACAAAAGGGGTGCCTTGGGGGGAGGGGAGCAGCCGCTGGCAGGGACCACACAGCACCAGCCCCCACCGCGGCTCCATCGGATGAGCGGAGGGCGAGGCCGGGCAGCATGGAGTCCCAGCTGGGAAGGCGGCAGTGGTTTTCTCGCCCTTCTCTCCTTCCTCCTGCTCCCCCACCCAAAAAAAAAATGATGTTCCCAAGTTTCCAAAAAGTTTTGACTTCACGAATAACTTTGAGGCTGATTGTATAGATCACACCAATGGAAGGAACTAAAAGCTTCTCTTGTGAGGGAGCACCCATCTCATAAGAAGTGACTGAGTCGTGTATGACAAATAAACAAACACATAAACAATTACTAATAAAATGAGTCATTATTAAAAGACAGCCACTAGGTACAGGAGAGAATAAATTAAGCACAATGATCGAGCTATCATTGAATATTGCCCCTCTTCTGAGATCCCAAGCCAAATGATATAACCAGATTTTAAGGGACATTAACAGGGATGGAACCCAACCTTACTTTATGAAGTGGAGTATTGCTGAAGGGGGTACCACGGCAGAGAAAGCCCACGTTCTGGGACATTCCAACTATAAGTCCCTAGCAGATGGGACTCAGAGCATGCCCTCTCTGTCAGATCTAATGGGACTGGCAGATGTAATTGGGTAAAGGTGGCCCCTCAAATAATCTGATCCCATGCTATGATGGGCTGAAAAGGTTAAACTCACAATCTGGATTGGATGTGCAAGCAAATGGGCAACCAGTGCAGCTTATGGAACAAAGATATCCCATGCGTTTTTCTGGAAGTACACGTAATTGCCCGCCTTATTGCAATCTCTACAAAGAACATCACTGCCAATCTACAGTTTCCAAAGTCCACATGGATAAGCCAGAAGGCTATTGAAAGAATATTTTGTGGATAGATGTTATCAAAATAAAACTTTTTTCCTTGAAAGAAAAGTTTGTTTGGCAAAAGGTCAACTTTGCAATCCACCATAAGAATCTTATCTGAGAAATGTAGTGGCAATAGCATGGTTTGGGCCTCCTGTGCTGCCTCAGGATAATTTGCCATAATTGATGGAACTAATGATTCTGAATTGTACCAGCAAATTGTACTATTTAATGAAATACTCCTCTAGAACTGTTGTTTGAAATTGGGAAGCAGCCACAATAACATGGCTTGATGGGGGTCTTCACTCTACTCTTAAAATTTAATGTATCACTAAAAAAAAAAACCAATTTAAATAACCTAGAGTTAGATCTTGGACTGAAATAACTGCAGAATGCCTTTGATATTTTTAAGTATATGAAAAAGAATTTAATCTTTGGGACATATAATAATTAATTGTGGGCAGTATGGCATTCCCTACTGTTCACTTCTTATATTCACTGCAGGTGACATAACTATTCAAGGTTAAAATGAGCAAAATTCTATCAAGCTCGCACTATTAGTGTAGTGTTTTATGTTTGGTAGTCCTTGATTTAGAATCACAATTGGGATTGGAATTTTGGTTGTTAAGTTGAGACATTATCTTGTGAAACACCCTCACTTGGTAGCAGATGACTGCATTTTGAGCTCTTTTATAGATTTTCTTCTATTGTACATATCTTAATGTCTTTTAAAATTGTTACTGCAGTTTGTGGTTTGATTTATAGCTTATTTTTGTTCATATTTTAATAAAGGGAAAGTATTAGCAAAAAATTAATGGAAAGTTGTAGAATATTGTACACAGTTATAGTTTTGACCAAAATTATTGTTTCTTTTTCACAGAATGTTGGTTTTGAAAGCTCAGGGAAGAAGCAACAGAGAGAAAATAATAATCCAGTGGTAAGCATGACTGCATGGATATCTCATTTAATTATTTATTTAACTAGTAATATTTCAGTTGGGCTTTTTTATTGAAATAGATATAGCAGTTAGGAATATTAATAAAATGTTAGAAAATAATCAGGAAATGAAATAATATTTGACGATTTAGGTATTATATTCAATTATAAGTGCATAGTTTGACATTTTGGACAGGGCCTAGTACTCACGTTTGTCAAGATCCTTCTGAATCTAGAGTCTGTCTTCCAAAGGGAGGTTCTTGGTGTCCTCTGAGCTTGCTTGTTTTCTTGCAGTCTTCGTGAGAATGGTCTTGGTGGTTCCCTGATTGGGCTGTTGTTTACTGTTTACTGTTGTTTATCTGAATTGAGGTATTGTTTGCTTCTTCATTGTTGGTTTATCAATTGGCCAATTAAGGAATCACCAAGACCACTCCCATCAACACTAACCGGGAAACCACTAGTATATAAAATGAGAGCAAACCACTGTCTACTAGCAGTGATGATGTAGCTTAGTTTGGTAGTGAAATATCTGCAAGAAAACAACCAAGTCAAAAAGCACTGAGGACCCCACAGTTCAACTATGAACTACAACTTTTCTGTTGATCTTCCCAAAGTGTTGTCTATTTCCTCCAGCTTGGTGTCATCTGCAAATTTGATGAGTTCACCTTCTATAAGTTCTTAGATTTTGTTCAAGTTGTAAAAGATAGTTACATAGCTGGCTTTCACATCTTTTTGGGAAGATTCATTAGTATAAAGAGGCTAATACTTCTATTTAGAGATAATTTTGTTCAAGAAGATTCATGAACATAACATTAAAAAGTTTGTATGTGATTTGAACTAAGTACTTAGTGTCTTTCATTTAAAAACAACTCATCTGTAAATCTGTGGCAATATTTTATTCAACTTCCGAGGTATGTTACTATTTTTAGAGTACTTCTTTGTTTTCTTAACAATAATAGTGCCTGAAAATGACAACAAAACGGAACTTGTTTGTGCGATTGGTTCCATGCCGTTGCTTGCGTGGAGAAGAAGAAACTGTGACTGCACTTGATTACTCTCACTGCAGCCTTGAGCAGGTTCCTAAGGAAATTTTTACTTTTGAAAAGACATTGGAAGAACTCTATTTAGATGCTAATCAAATTGAAGAGCTTCCAAAGGTATGTTGCATTCTAATATTGCATTTCTTTATGTAAGTGAATAACAGTGAATCCTCACATAAATGCTTTGTGTATAAAGATAGAGTAAATTTTCTAGTAGTTTTATGTTTGTACGATAGGAAAGAAATATTGATATGACAAATCAAGGTTGACATCAATATTTATATAAGGTTCTGTACACGTGCATGTCATCTTTGTTGAAATTAACCATCGTTGCTTGGTTATTGATTATTGTTCTAGCATTGTTCTAGCATCTGCTCTATAAAATATATTGTGGCCATCACAATATATTTTATGGAGCAGAAAATATTGTATAGTATTCTAGGCTATAGATTATTTCCATTTTCAGAAGCATCAACTTTAAAAATATTTCTAAATGACCCCCTTGAACATGAATTGTTGGTAAGGTTTAGAATCCAAGCAATATGTTTTGCACATTCCTAAGTGAAGTATAATAGCACTTTTGCTCTCTAGAGCTTCAGATAAATCCTTCCTAGTGGCTTCCTGTAAACTTTAAATAATAAAGGTCAAAATAAAGTGGTTACATTGAATAGTAATTTTGTGTTCTATTTTTCAAACACAGATAGTAGAATAGAGCATAACTTCTTTAATATATTGATCTCAACCCTGCCTTAGGAAGAGGCACTTCAGAAAACTTGTTAATGTGAAGAAAATATCATCATTAAAACATTAAAGCAGACTATATGCTGACAGGCATCTCTGAAGAATGTTGTTAATTTTCTAAATGATGTTTTCACTGCAATGACTAGTAAAGTGAAGCATTTGCATTCACATGCAGACATATCCAGGAATAGCCTTTGATGAAGCCAAGCAGGCCCTCCAACATTTTTCATTTTTCACAAAAAAGGTGCTTCACTCAAACTAGCATCTTTTGTGAAGCACTCCTATTAGGTGCTTTGTATGGCTCTATTGCTGTAAGTTATTTTGGTTGTTAACACTAAAACGTAAAAGAATTAGATAGTTTACCAAGATGACCATGGCAATCTTAGTCCAATATAAAAGTTTTGATAAAAAGGCCCGTATAATCAGTATCATTCTAATCACAGTGATATTGCAATATCATCACATGCAAAGAAACATTTTTCACTAGCTGAATCAGCAAAAAAATGTAATGTTGAAAAGCAGCTTCTGTCACTCAGACATATTGTCTGCAATCTCAAGATCCAAAAGCTCAACAAATTAAAAACTATTAGATTACCTGAAACAGATGTTTCACAATGAGCAGTTGACAGTTGCACCTTTTCCTTCTGCACCACCCCAGCAAATAAAGCTTCATATACTACAGGACAATAGTAGATACAAGCTGTGTCAGTGCCCTAAATATAATGAGGTAGATATCTTACTTACCTCTTTGATCTTACTCATCCCAAGTTGCTTTTTGTTAGAACTCTAAATGTCAATCTCCATGTTTCTGGAGATCTAAAATTGCAGAATAACTCTACTTAAAATATACCTTAGGAAGATCAAAATGTTTTTATCTGCAACAAACCTCTCAAAGATGGCAAATTGTATGTAAATTACATTTTGAAATGTGCACTATAATCAGGAATATGTGATTGAATATTTTATATAAATTGATTTTATGATCCTAGCCTTATTTTTACTTCTTGATTATCACTTCCCAATTTAAGATGTAGCACTTTTTCAGATAAAATTTAAGGTTAGGATTTATCTAGTTTTCACTGGGAAGGGAGATCTTGTAGACATCAGAAAGCCTGCCAACTTTGATTAAGCTGTCTGTATGCTTTTATATGCATACAATTTTGTAGTAGGTTTATATCTATACTTCCTCCTTCCAAGTTAGAGGTAGAGTTTCTGTGCCATTAATGAGGATATATTTTCCTGATATCCCCTTACAGAATGGGAAAACAGCTTACCATATTCTGTTTTATGGGATATACAGTATTTCAGTTTATGAAGCCAAGGACATAATAAGAATTGTGTATCTGCTTGGCTGACAACACACTTAGTGATCTCTGGTGATGTGGCCTCATTTGAAGTGGCTGAGGGATTGAATGGGTGGATGCAGGGAGTGGTAAATGAATCTTTCCACGGGGGAGTAGTGCCATCAGACTGGAAGAAAGGCCATTGTCTTTCTTCTCCTGAGGAAACATTGCCCGGATTGTCTCAAAGTGCCTCAGCACATAATAGTTTTGCAGTTGCACTGCTTAGAGCAGGGGTGTCAAACTGCAAACCTGTGGGCCGGACACATCATCCGGAAGCTGTGCCCACCCCATTGCCGGTAATGGCAAAATTGTCCCGATACGCAATGTCATGTGACGTCATGAGTTTGACATGTCTGGCTTAGAGGATACTGATTATGACTTTTAAATATGTTTATTGAAGACATTTTTATGAAGAACAATGCAGGTATTAGAAAAGAAACAGAAAATAAGAAGGAATACTGAATAAGAAAGAAATTAAGAAAAAGAAATAGAAAAGAAAAAAAGATTATAAAGAAGCGCCTTCCAATCTTCTTGGCAGTGGTCATAAATGCATTTATATTTTACCTTCTCTCTCTAAGGTTGCATTATAATTTCCTTCTTTCCATTAGATACCCTTTCTAATCCCCAAACCCATAAATTACAAGTTCATTTTTCTCTTTTTTTTCAGCAAAAAGTCCACAAGGGGTAGGTTGTTTCTCTAATCAAAGGAGTTAATTTTGCCATTAGCTTTATAAACCTTTCCTCTATTTTCCAATTTTTGCATGTATATTTTATCCTTTTTGATCTTGGTTCAGTCCTGGTTTGGGGACAGAGTCAGCATAGATAGATTTAGTTACTTATTTAATTCAGTTTAGGTGCTGCCTGACTCTGGGCAGCTCACAATATAATAAACCATAAAAATGCAATACAAAACAAAATGGGGATCCTGTTACTTTACACAAAAACATAGACAAAAATACAACCAGTAAAGGGCTGCATTCATTTTAACCCAATGCCCAGGAAAACAATCACGTCTTCAAGGCATTGTAGATTGCCACAGCAAAGAAAGCACATTTCTGGAACCCCCCATAGATGGTACTGTTGGAAGGTATCTGGAACATGCCAAATCTGCCAGCACATAGTGACTAGGCAGAAAATTGGGGTCTGTTAAATAAGGTGGCTCTTAGTCAACTAGATGAGATAGATGATCTCTTATGGGAACTGAGATAAAGAGAATGTGAATTTATTTATTCTGTTTTATTTCTCAGCAGCTTTTGGTATTGTTGATAGAATACTCTCTTGGGCTATCTCTGTGAGTTGGGAACTGGGGGCACTGTGTTATAGTGATTCTCCTTCAACTTGCAAAGACAGTTTTGGAGAGTAATATCCTGGGCAAGTGTGATTTTACACCCTAAAACTATGTTATGGGGTGCCTCAAGGCAGTCTCTCCCCCACATGTTATTTAAGGTATATGTGAAGCCATTAGGACTCATCAAAATTTGGGGGGCTAAATATCACCCTTGACTTGACTTTTCTATATCATTCAAATTAGGAGAGGTGTGCAGATTCTGAACCAGAATAATGGGGAGGAGATTCAGGAGACTGAATCTTAATAAAATTGAGACTGGTTCCATAATTCAGGAATTATGGAACTGATTTTGTTCTACATGGGTTGTGTTTACTTAGAAATAACAGATACATGTTATTTGGATGTGGTCTGCACTGTACTGCATTGTCTGCCAAGCTAGGTTTATGTTTTTTATGTTATTTTAGACTACAAATAGTTCTCAAATTTAGTGACCTCAATTGCAACTGGCAACTTGGTTGTTAAACAAAGCTGATACCGAATGAAACCATGGCTGTGCTTAAATCTTACTTCAACTTTCCTTGTTTTACAGACTTGTGAAGGTCATAAAACACAAGGATTAGGTGTAAAGTTACTTTTACATCACTGTTCTAACTGCAAATGGTTGTTGTATGAGGCGATTGCTAAACAAATTAAACCTGTGTAGGAGATCTGCTAGATTATAAACCTTGCAACTTTTACTGAGAAATGCTGAATATCATCTGATGGCTATTCACAGTCTGATCTTCTCAGTGAAAATTCTACACCCTCAAATGCTTTCCCCCTGGAATTTGGGGAAGCACCTACTTTACTATACTATTATTTAGGCACCAGTTGAAAACTTGCCTTTTCAAGCCATAGATTCAACACTATTTTTATTAGTTCATTGTTCCCCAACATAACTATTATCCACTTGTATTAACTTCATCTCCCAGATTTCTTGGTAATAGGTCACACTGAAGTTGTTACATAAATCTCGGTTGTTACATAAATCTGGATTATATGAAGGTTAGGGAACTTGTATTTATATTAATTGAAGGTTTGTTGCAAACTTTTGATTTTTTAAACTCTTGTCAGACCACATGGGTTGGAAAAGGGTGAGCGGAGGGGAAGTGCTGGTGTTTGACCTTGACTATACCAGTATAAATTCTTACAGGTTATTGGGGACAGTCTCCAATTGTGTGATTATTTATAGAATTTATATTGGACTACACCAAGGAATCTCCAAATGTTGGGTGGTGATTGGGGAAATCACATGTTTGTCATGCTTCCATTTTTATAAATACAAGCTTTAGCCTAATCTTACCAGCATGAATAGAATCATGTGTGTCTCTGTGTTCACTTGATAAAAATAAATGCGCTAATCATAAAAGTTATATTTGCTACAAGTGTTACTTATTGAAGTGTTATAAGTTATGAATTATTATTTTCAAAAAGTTGTACAATGTTTTTATAGATAATTTTGAAGATTCATAAGTATTGTGCCTCATTAAAAGTTTTATTTATTTATTTTTTGCCTCAATAGCAACTTTTTAATTGTCAGTCTCTATACAAGTTGAGTTTGCCGGACAATGATTTAACAACATTGCCTGCATCCATAGCAAATCTCATTAACCTCAGGGAACTGGATGTCAGCAAAAATGGTGAGTTTTTCATAATATTATAATGAACACCAAAGAATAAGGGCATAAAAATGGATATTTAGATTTCTGAATCTGTGGAAATAACCTTGGGTTTAAAGGTCCAAAAGTGTGTTAGACGTGACATAATTTTTGTCATGTACTAATTTCATAATGTGTGACTCAATTGATTTCACCGAAACACTTTTCATATTTCTTTTAGAAAGGAATGTGCTTTAGCATGGCACAACTGAAGTTGAAAGAAAATAATCTGTATAATGCTTTCCGATGCAACCAGACTAAATTGGAGACTACAGTTATGGAAGATGTTTATATTTTAAATCACAGTAACTGGAGAGTTCTTATCTGCTTGCACTAGAAATATTTTATGTGTTTGTTACAGTATATTAGTCATACACCAGCCTGACGATTAACTATTTTATGGACACATCCATTTAGTTTTCTTGATCTATCATTGCCTTCTTTAGTGATAACTTTATGATACCTTTATGGTTTCCTAGTGGCCTTCCATCCAAATGCTAACCACGTCTATTCATGTTCAGCTTTGCAAGTTCAATAAAATTGCCTAGCTGAACAAAAACAATATCAAATCCAGCTTAACTCCTGCTGCCTTTATTCAGACATGCAAGAAGAAGGGAACATATAGGTGCAGAATGAATTTTCAGTTTTACAAGTAATACACAGCTAAGTTGCAAACCCAAATTGAAATTAATTATTGCTCAAATAATTTACCTTTGTTTAAAAGAAATATACTGCTAGAATTGTGACTTGCAACAAATTACCTCTATTTGTGATGCTTTTTGTTTAAAATTTAAGCATCACATTTTTCCTTCTTTCCCAATGGCAGTTGGTTAGCATTCCATGTGTATTCTTAATTGGGTAGGTGTGATGTGTTCTCTTTTGTTTGTCTCTAAATACTTTTTTATTATTTTTTGTGTCAACAAATTATAGGATTTCCTCAAACCTGCTTTTGTTAGGGCCGTCCTGAGAACTGAGATTGCTGTAAATATTTGTGATCTATTCCAATTGCTGATTCTGTTGTAATGTTATTTGGTGGTCTTTCTTTTTGTTGCCCAGATTCTCAGTTTCATTTCAAAATGTCATAACTAGGTACAGTACTTTGATAAAATTTCATACTCTCTTTGTGGGACAAAGAAATAAAATATTTTAGTGTATATAATTCCAGCATAACCTTTTCCACAATTCTGAATTCTGAGGATCATTAAAAACATTGATAGCTTGTATAAACATTATTAATACATTTAGTCAGTTCAACACTCATTTTGGTTAAATTTTTCACTACTCTTTTAAATTAGCTAATCAAACACAAACTTTGTAGTTTATACATCACAAAAGCTTTTGCTTTATCCAAGAATGCTGTGCCTATTGCAGTTTCAATAAAATTTTGAAATAAAAAATAAGTTCAAAAAATTGCTGTTGCAGTTTAAATGAACCTTGCAGTGCATTATTACTACTCATCTTTCTCTAATCATAATTGCACAATTGAAGAGAAGTAGTTTGTGCAACACTATATACAGTACCCACACAAAACAAAGAATTATGAAAAAAAGAAACATGTACCGTATAAATTTATGGGAACACTTATATCAATAAATAGAAGCCATGATTTGTTACAGTCATGCAAAGCTAAGCTATATTAATAAATTCTGCAGACCACTGCATAGTTTGAGCTATATGTTTGTCTTTCCAGTTCTGAACTGTAAGTCTTTTAGCTACGAATAAGATACAGAAAATCCATTTTATTAGTTTAGATGTCAACTCCCATGTAATATCTTTATAACATAAACTCGCTTTCTGATACTTTTTAATGTTCTGTTTCTACAGGTATACAGGAGTTTCCAGAAAATATCAAGAACTGTAAAGTTTTAGCAATTGTTGAGGCCAGTGTAAATCCTATTTCAAAGTAAGTTCTATTGTAATAATTTTTTAAAAATGTGTTCCACAATGAGTATCACATATGTCTTCAGGTTAAGCATATGATCTTTTATTTGTTAAATTTATCTCTGTTTAAATTTATCTAGGCTTCCAGATGGATTTTCACAGTTGTTAAACCTAACACAATTATATCTGAACGATGCTTTTCTGGAATTTTTGCCAGCCAATTTTGGCAGGTAAGTTTTAAAAAATTTAAAAAGGCAAGTCACTATTAGCTATGAAAGAGGATGGAACGTTAAGATGAGTCTTCCAAATACTTCCAAAGTAGACCATGTCCTTGTACTAAAATGTCTAATTCAGAACTATAGTAGATTTCAAATTTCTCTATATGTGGCTTTTGTCAACTTTAAATCAGCATTGGATTCAGTCGCAAAACTTCTATAGGGAGAGGGGGATTGGACATTGACTCGAGGCTCTTGCTTTTAATCTAGAAATCATCCAAACTCTAGGATGAGAATAAGATGTGATCTACAAAGTCTAATTTTAGAGCTCATCTTCTGTACATAGGGAAGTCAGGCATTGATACATTTTAGCACCATGTCTGTTCAATTTGGAAATGAACTCATTAGCAAAAAGAACTCTCAGATCCAAATTTCCATCTGCCTAGTATAGCAGATAAGGATTTCCATATGTCCTTTATGCAGATAATGCAGCCATTATCTCAAGGACCCAGTTGGCCTTAGCATGCACTCAAAAACCTAGGATGCTATTTCAGTGAAAATCACTTTGTATTAAACTTCCAGAGGACCAAAATAATGGTTTTTGTTAAAACATTCAGGAAACTTCATTGGATAATAAAAGGGCAGGACATTCAGTAGATCAGGGTTTTGAATAATTTAAATATTGCTTTTCAAGACTCTGGGTCAGTGCAATGGTCATGCAGATTTAAAAAAGCTCTTCTGCAATCCTACTAATCTTCTGTGCAAAAAGTGGAGAATGTATCCCCTCAAATTATTCACAGCAAAATCCCTTATTCAGCTGCTCTATGGCTCCTAGCTAAGCCCCTACCTCGATTATTCACAGATGCAAGCTTCACAAATCAAGATTATAAAATCAGTGTTGCAGACCCCAAAGCTGCATATCCAGTGTAATTTTGAGATAGAAACTGATCAAACAAGGATTGAGGTTAGAGCATGGTTAATCATATTTAATTACTGACTTCTGTCAGCCAAGGAATGTTAGTTGGTGGGGACCAAAAGGAATGTCTTTACTGCTGTAGCGGCTACCCTCTAGAATTCACCTTCTCTTCTGATGGTCCTGCTGGACTTTGGGAAGATTTTGAAGACCTACCTGGCGCGACTTGGGGTTCAGTGTTTATGAAGGGTCCCATTTCCTGGTTATGCTGACACCAACTAATTATACTATCTTGTGGCTACTATTTGTATTTAATTTTTCGTTTATATTGTGTTTTAATTGTTTTTCTGATTGTTCAACCCCACTCAGAATCACTGGTTTGAGAATACAAAGTAAATTAATGAATGAATGATTGCAGTTCTGTTTTAGACAAACATCTAGAGGATGTTAAATAAAAGGAATTCAGTGATTAAGATGAATTTTAAATACTCGTAAGGAGTATTTAATATCTCATGTTGTGGCAGTAAAAATTATGCCTGCATATTTATTTTAATCAAGTAGGAAGAATAGGCTAACATTATAATTGGACAACATTGTTGCTCAGAAATAAAGAAAATTCCATTCAGGAAGACAAAATCAGTGAAGTAATTTTAGGGGAAAAAATTGAAATGTATGTTTATTTTTGAAATAATTTTAAGCTCTACTTATGTTAGATCAGACATGTCAAACACAAGGCCCGGGGGCCGGATGCGGCCCGTGAAGTGGTTTCATGTGGCCTGTGAAGCCATCCTGGAAACAGTGAGGGAACGGCCCCCGCTGCCTTGGCCCTAACCCAGGCCGGCCGGAGGGAGCCAATGTACAATTTTGTGGTGGCCATCTTGGCACTTGCCCCAGGGGACCATGCCTTGGCCTTTGCCCCGGTTCCACCCCCTTCTTCCAGAGACCCTCAGATCTGTCCCACTCCTGCACAGGCCCCCCACAGGCACCCTTGATGCGAACGACGTAGAACTGGCCACGCCCATCCAGTAGGCCACACCTACTCCATCCACTCCTACCCAGTAGGCTGCACCCACTCTGGCCACACCCACCCGGCCCCCCAAGGGTAACCGCAATGCTGATGCGGCCCTCAGTGAAATTGACACCCCTGTGTTAGATCTTAGAAACTTATTCTTATAAAATAGAAAAAAAATTAAATATTGGAGAAAACAAGCAGCATGATTTGAAGGGCTGTGTTTTAAAATAGTCCTTTATTAGCTAAGGCCACAAATTTATGTTAATAGTTTATACTTGCAAATCAAATTAAATCTGTTATATTAATAGGTTTATTTTATACTTCTCAAAAAGTAATTCATTGAATTTCTTTTATAGGTTAACTAAGCTCCAGATTTTAGAACTTAGAGAAAACCAGTTAAAAATGTTGCCAAAGTAAGTATACAGTGGTATTTGAATATATTTTGGTATGAATTACTTGAAATATAATGAAAATCAGAATTTTTATATCAACTGTAAGTAGTCTTGATGTTCTAGGACCATTATCTTGTTTGAGGTTTGTTCCTGTTGGAATTGCTATGAATTATTTCTTTTTCATCTATGCAATTATTCATTTTGACTGTAATTTTCCATTATAGTATTCATATAGCATGATTAAGTCTGTGATATTTATCATCTAGTTAAAAACATAACCATATTTTAATAATTGTAATACAACAGCAGTTCTCAGTGTACAATAGCATTTGGGACCAGAATTGGCATGCAAGTTGTAAAGTACGACATTATATGACCACATTGCTTAGCAATAGTGATTCTAGCAGTACTGGTTGCCACTGTTAAATAAGCACTCTTCAGGTTGTCATGTGACCATGATTTCCTTCCAGCTTTTCCTTTGATTCTGCTTGTGAGAAGCTAGCAAGCAATATAAGAAATGGTGATCATAAGATCGTAGCTAACTGGGATATGGTAATCATGATCTTGTGACTTTGAACTATTGAATGCTCATAACTTGAGTATCTATCAGCAACATTTCTGTTTGTGTTCTCTGAGTTGGTTAGATGTAAATAGCTCCTTTTTCTATCTGTGCCTGTTGATGGCTGATTTTCTGAAGGCCACGTTTCCAGGAATTCTCCAATGGTTTTGGATTTTGCTTGGTCCTGGATACTCACAGTTTCCCAGTTGAAACTATGATCAAGTCTATCCATGTGGTGTAAAATTAAAGAGTTTTCATCATGTCTTCTGCCTGCTAGTTGTGTGCTGCTAGTCTTGTTTGTCCTACATAGTGACAGTTATAGTCCTTATACATTATATGTTGCAGGTGACTTCTGTTTTCTCTTCTGGGTCTTTTAGTTTACCTAGGATGTTTTGGAGGGCATTAGTTGGTTTATTAGTAGTAGCAATAACCGTATTGGTTGTAATAGTCTATTTATGGTTTTTGAGATCTTTTGATGTATGGCAATGTTATCCTTTTCACAACTTGTGTTGATTGTGCAATATTGGGTTGAGGGTGAGACACTTTTGATAAAGTTGACGGGCTATCCATTTTGTTTGGAAAAGTTGTATAGATGATTTGATTCTTTTTCTGATGTTCAGGGTTGCTGCAGTGTGTTTGTCTTTGTCTCAATAGTGTTCTTACACTGTTTAGTTTCTCTTGTGGGAGGTTGGTTGGTGTTGAAGGTTTTGGGATAGACTTGTGTTTCTAATTTGCTATATATCTGCTACTGTTGATGAGGATATTCAGGAAGGTTTGCTTTTTCTTTTTCCCTTGTGAATTTTATTCCTTTGAAGATGTTGATAGTTTTGTGTGTTTTCCCTAATTAGTCCTTTTTATTATGACGTGTCATAATTTTGACTTTTAATTCCTTTTCCATCATTATACAACAGACGTCCATTTGTCTTCAGTTTTAAATTTTTTTATCTGTATCCTGTCTTTATTATTTTAACAAATAAACTTTTCTTAATTTAGCTTTGAACATCCGTATATATAAATTAATTATGCCTATTTATTTTATTTACAGAGTTGCTGTGAATTGGACAGCATATAATTTTTTTCAATAATTATTAGTTAGATTAGAACACAGGAAACATATATACTAAGATGCTAGTATTTAGAGCAAAATCATTTAATCTTAGTAATAAGATTGATATGACTGCTTGCTTCTTATGAATTCTGATGCTAATTGGTATGTTTTCTAGAACTATTAACTGTAATACTTATTTAAAATGCATCAGAATGAGCAGATGAAAATAAGGTATAATTGGTATTTCCCTTAAATCTAAGTACCTTTAATCGTTTCATTTCTGCAGAACCATGAATAGACTGACTCAGTTGGAGAGGCTAGATCTGGGAAGTAATGAATTCACAGAAGTGGTAAGTTGCACTTAAGTAACAGTTTCGCTAAAAGGTCATATTCTTAAACTTTTTAGACAATGTCAAATAAGAAATTGTGTTAAATTTTATTTTGTAAGCTAACTGTAATCTGTTTTAAGGCATTGAGTTATGTCATTTTAAATCTGACTGCTTTTTTCCAAATTTTATTTGCTCTTAGTGTGGTGTTTTGGTGACACATTGAAATTATGCATTGAACTGACAATTCTAGTTTTATGTAATTTAATAAATATATTAGTTGAAAAAAATACAGATTTTGAACAGAGAGTAAAACATCTGTGTATAAATACATGAAACAAATCAGCAAAATTCTCAACATTTTTCTCTTAATATTGTATTTTCTATTAAATATTCCATTGTAGAAATATATCATAGTGTGTGGTTTTGTTTTTTTTTAATTTCTATCAGCCTGAAGTACTTGAACAATTAAGTGGGTTAAAAGAATTTTGGATGGATGATAACAAACTAACACTTGTTCCAGGGGTAATGTATATTTATTATTGTTATATTTTATATTTATATTACAACTACTATGACAATTCAGTAGTATGCTTAATGCCTAAGTGAACAATTGTATTTTATTACAAATATTAATGTTGATCACCTTTCTTGAAAGAGATTAATGAAAAAAGTTTACATTTAGCAAAACACTGAACAAATATACCTTTGGAATAAAATTCTGAACATGACAAGGACTAATTCTTCTGTGTCACATAGTATATCACTTTTCTTGAATTCATAGAAAGGGAATTGGTTTAAAATTTTAGTAGAATCCCATAATGAAATACTGTATCTTCATCTAGACAATTTTTCTAGATTTGGATTGTCTAAAACTTTGATTAAAATTTACATCCTAGTTTGTAAAAGAGCATAAAATGATATGTCATAGCAAATAAAATTGCATTAAAATTAATTTGCATTACCTGTTAAGTAAGGTATATTCATGTTTTAATTCATAAATATTATATTTTACTAGTGCCTCTGTATTTTCAGTTTATGGGCAGCTTGAAGCACTTGACCTACTTGGATATTTCCAAAAACAATATTGAAACTCTTGAAGAAGGTGTTTCAGGATGTGAAAGTTTACAAGATCTGCTATTATCTAGTAATTCACTTCAGCAGCTGCCAGAGTCCATTGGTTTGTATTGTTAGCCATAAATATATAATACAATTGTTATAACATTTTGGCATTCTTTATTTAAACATAAATGCACTTTTGTAGCACATAGACAAAAAACATACCTTGTCTTTTTCTTTTAAAGAACAATTTTATATTGAAGTTAACTTAAAATTCACTGATCAATGGAAACAATGACAGTGGTTTAACAAATCTAATATAATGGAGTAGGTGGATTAATCTTTCCAAATTAATTTGTGTTAGTTAGCATGTTGTAAAATACAGCGCTTGTCAGATTTATTAGTCTAGAATTCTCCTCATCCCAATCCAGCTTGGTTTTTGATCAGAGAGCTGGCAAAATATTAGGTCTGTCAATTATTAAGTATTTATGGTTTTAGATATTGCTCTCTAGTAGCCATAAGGACACTTGCAAATAAATTGTTTCCTCTTTTCCTCAATTGATAGTATCTGTGGATGACCTTTAATAATAAATAACAATAAATTAAAAGAAGTACTTTTTCTTCTGTAATAAAATTTGTTTTGATTTTGCTTGCAATTGATCTAGGACTAGAATAATCTTGCTGCTTAGGCTTGCATAGGATACAGTGAAATAGTTGCACATAAAAAAAAGGAAGATATGTTGAGAGATTGCTATTGCATGCTTCCTTATAGCAGTGTTTCTCAACCTTGACAATTTTAAGGCATGTGGACTTCAACTCCCAGAATGCTGGCTGTGGAATTCTGGGAGTTGAAGTCCACATGCCTTAAAATTGTCAAGGTTGAGAAACACTGCTCTATAGTGATATAGATTATGTCATATGAATCCTGTATGACTACCATTTTAATATTTCTTTTATAATAGGTTGTCTAAAGAAATTAACAGTTCTTAAAATTGATGAAAATCAGTTAATGTATTTGCCAGATTCCATAGGAGGGTAGGTATTTCTACATCTTCTTTAACAAAGAACATGTTATATGCCATTTTTAATGGTTCTTCAATGAATACTTGTTAAATAGAATAGTGTTACTTAATGCCTACTTAAATCTATTAGCATACCCGTATACCCAGACGGTCAACATAGAAATCAGATTGACTATGTGCTCTGCAGCCAAAGATGGAGAAGCTGTATACACTCAGTAAAAACAAGACCAGGAGCTGACTGTGGCTCAGATCATGAGCTTCTCGTTGCAAAATTTAGGCTTAAATTGAAAAAAGTAGGGAAAAGCACTAGGCCACTCAGGTATGAACTAAATCATATTCCTGATGAATATACAGTAGAGGTGACAAATAGATTTAAGGAATTAGATCTGATAGACAGAGTGCCTGAAGAACTATGGATGGAAGTTCGCAACATTGTACAAGAGGTAGCAACTAAAACCATCCCAAAGAAAAAGAAATGCAAGAAAGCAAAATGGCTGTCTGAGGAAGCTTTGCAAATAGCTGAGGAAAGAAGGGAAGCGAAAGGCAAAGGAGAAAGAGAAAGATACACCCAATTGAATGCAGAATTCCAGAGAGCAGCTAGAAGAGATAAGAATGCCTTCTTAAATGAACAGTGCAAAGAAATAGAAGAAAACAACAGAATAGGGAGGACCAGAGATCTCTACAAGAAAATTGGAGATATGAAGGGAACATTTCATGCAAAGATGGGTATGATAAAGGACCAAAATGGCAGGGACCTAACAAAGGCAGAAGAGATTAAGAAGAGATGGCAAAACTACACAGAAGAATTATAGAAGAATGAGCTTAACATCCCAGATAACCACAATGAGATGGTCACTGACCTCGAACCAGACATCCTAGAATGTGAAGTGAAATGGGCCTTAGAAAATCTGAGCAACAACAAAGCTAGTGGAGGTGACAGTATTCCAGCTGAGCTATTCAAAATCTTAAAAGACGATGCAGTAAAAGTGCTACACTCAATTTGCCAGCAAATTTGGAAAACTCAACAGTGGCCACAGGATTGGAAAAGGTCAGTTTACATTCCAATTCCAAAGAAAGGCAATGCCAAAGAATGTTCAAACTATCGCACCATTGCACTCATTTCACATGCTAGTAAAGTTATGCTTAAAATCCTACAAGCTAGACTCCAGCAGTATGTGGATCAAGAACTACCAGAAGTACAGGCAGGATTTCGAAGAGGCAGAGGAACTAGAGATCAAATTGCCAACATACGCTGGATCATGGAGAAAGCTAGGGAGTTCCAGAAAAAACATCTACTTCTGCTTCATTGACTATGCAAAAGCCTTTGATTGTGTGGATCACAACAAATTGTGGCAAGTTCTTAAAGAGATGGGAGTACCAGACCATGTCATTTGTCTCTTGAGAAACCTATATGCGGGTCAAGAAGCAACAGTGAGAACTGGACACAGAACCACTGATTGGTTCAAAATTGGAAAAGGAGTCCGGCAAGGCTGTATACTGTCGCCCTGCCTATTTAACTTATATGCAGAGCACATCATGAGAAAGGCAGGGCTAGATGAATCAAAAGTTGGAATTAAGATTGCCGGGAGAAATATCAACAACCTAAGATATGCAGATGATACCACTCTAATGGCAGAAAGTGAAGAAGAACTAAAGAGCCTCTTGATGCGGGTGAAGAAGGAGAGTGCAAAAGTTGGCTTGACACTCAACATTAAGAAAACTAAAATCATGGCATCTGGCCCTCTCAATTCCTGGCAAATAGATGGGGAAGAAATGGAGGTAGTGACAGATTTTATTTTTCTGGGCTCCAAGATCACCTCAGATGGGGACTGCAGCCAAGAAATTAAAAGACGCTTGCTCCTGGGGAGGAAAGCTATGGCAAATCTAGACAACATACTAAAAAGCAGAGACATCACCCTGCCAACAAAAGTGCGTATAGTCCAGGCCATGGTTTTCCCAGTTGTAATGTATGGCTGTGAAAGTTGGACCATAAGAAAGGCTGAGCGCCAAAGAATTAAGGCCTTTGAACTATGGTGCTGGAGAAGACTCCTGCGAGTCCCTTGGACTGCAAGGCATTCAAACCGGTCAGTCCTAGAAGAGATCAACCCCGACTGCTCTTTAGAAGGCCAGATCCTGAAGTTGAAACTCAAGTACTTTGGCCACCTAATGAGAAGGAAGGACTCACTGGAGAAGGTCCTAATGCTGGGAAAGATTGAGGGCAATAGAAGAATGGAACGACAGAGAATGAGATGGCTGGATGGAGTCACTGAAGCAGTAGGTGTGAGCTTAAATGGACTCCAGAAGATGGTAGAGGACAGGAAGACCTGGAGGAACGTTGTCCATGGGGTCGCGATGGGTCGGACACGACTTCGCAATTAACAACAACAATCATTTTGAAGTTTATAATCCTGCATATCCAGTAGATTCAGATTATTTTGGAGGTCTATAGGGATTTGAGATATTGATCTTTCTTCAAATCAGTAGTGATTCAAGTTTCAATATGTATTGTTTATATTTTCCATACTTGACTTTATATTCTACTAGCAAATAAAATGAGCCAACTCTGATTTTATTTATTCAACTTGATTTAGGTTAATTTCAATTGAAGAACTGGACTGCAGCTTCAATGAAATTGAAACTTTGCCTTCATCTATCGGGCAGCTCTCTAATATAAGGACTTTTGCTGCAGATCATAATTTTTTAACACAATTGCCACCAGAGGTATGCTTTTATTCATGAATCCAGTTGTTTCTCTTTATAGGCTTAGATTTATTGAGATATTTTTTAAGAAAACTAGTAGAGTGTGGCTTCAGCTTTTTTGAAATCAATTAGAAACTAACTTTGAAACTCTTGATTCTGGGTAAAATGGTATAAAAGTGCTGAAGTACAGAGGGTATTCATCTGCCAAATTAATCATTATGGCACAAGTCAGCTCAAACAATAGGATATAAATCTATAAATAAAAATGAGAGATGCTTGGGAGAGTAACTATTTTGTAATGAGAAGGGGGGGGCGGGGAGGAAATACTTGTTAAAAACATTTTACCACATTGTCCTGGATGTGACAAAATTTGATGTTTGTAAGTTAAGGACTCAGTTTTCATGATCATGAAGTACTTTCTCTAAACCCTCTACACTTTTTTTGATGATTAAATATGCTTTTTCTGTTATTAGAATGCACAGTAAATGGAAAGACTTAAAGAGATAGAATATGTTTTGCTGATCTCTCTTTCTACAAACCATGTAGGGCTTTAGAGATAACAATAAGCATCTTGAATTGCACGCAGAAGGATACAATAAGCATCTTGAATTGCACGCAGAAGGATACAAGGCATGCCCATACTGCTGCATTCTGTACCAGTTAAATGTTCCCAGTGATCTTCAAGGACAACCCCGTGCAGAATGCATTGCCATAGTTGAATTGTTAGGTGATTATAGCACGAATAATTGTCTGAAGGTCCTCCCAACTCAGAAAACAACATCTAATTTCATACCAGAGGCAGTTGTGCAAAGGCTTTCTTTTCCTTCATTGCTAAATGCTCTGGTATTTAAACTTAGAGAATTGACCATAAAGAATGCAACTGCTAAAGTATCTTAGCCTGATTTTATTGGATTATCTTAATTTGATAGTATCAACTGGATTTTCATGTTATGCAGAAGAGGTGTTCAGAAGGGTTACAGAGGCTGCAGATTGCCTTCCTATACATTAGATAGAAAAAATACATGTAATCTCAATTTGAAATATATTCTCTACAAAGTACCGTAAATGCCGGTGTATAAGGCGACTTCCGCAAGCGTTAAAATTGGCACCAAAGACGGGGGTCGTTTTATACGCCGGAAATACTGGTAGTTTCTGGCGTATAAGACGACGTTCTAGGAATGTGACTTGACGACAAAGACGGGAGTCGTCTTATACGCCAGGTCGCCTTGTAAGCCGGCATATACGGTAGAAAGTTTAAATATGATCAGAAAAAAGCTGTGTTTTTTAGCTGTGTTTTCTTGTCAATTTTGATAATTCAAAATTGTCATATTGAAGTATGTTTTTATATTCAACAGAAAAATGACAGTATATGCATTTATTATTTATAAAATAATCTCAATTACTGCATAATTATGTTTATTTTTTCAGATTGGAAACTGGAAATATGTAACTGTTTTGTTTCTTCATTCTAATAAACTGGAGGTTCTTCCAGAGGAAATGGGTGATATGCAGAAATTAAAAGTTATAAATTTAAGCGATAATAGGTTTGTAACTTGAATTATTTTGCATGAACATTCTATTATTCATAATGGAGCTTTGGGTGGATTTAATCCAATCACTGTTTCTCACCTAGGATTATTATAAGCATAAAATTTTGGGATATCCAAATGGGGAATTAATCAGTTTCTTTGGATGAAGGTGAAATGAGCATGTAATATATTTTCTTTATATAAGGCATACTCTAATAAAAATATTTTGATTTATTATTTTATAGTTTCTTTTGGTGGGAAAGGATTCGTATAGGAAGTGTTAGAAAATGTGACTTAAGAATTTAGACAAGAATGGGCACTGAGAAAAGAGAATAGTTGTTTGCATAGGATGCAAACCAAATAAAGCATAGAGAGACGTGCTTTGATTCCAGATATGTTTGAGATTGCAGAGGCTGCAGTTGTGTTGGCAAGATAAGGGGAAGTATTTCACACCAGGAAGCCCAAGAGACAAATTGAATATATTAGGATGGATTCTCTTCTTTTTGCCTCTGTTTTTAATTCATTTATATTATTTAATGTTCCAGAGCAGTGTGCAAATGCCTATCCCTATGACCACTGTGTTACTTGAGCTCTGTTTCAGAACTTAGTCACAGTCTAACTGTGTAAAACTTTAACTACTTACAGGGCTGAACTTACCGCAAGAATAACTTGTAAGCCCAATAATAATTAGACAAAAATACACAATTAAAATGGATAAGAATGTGGAAAAAATGACCATTTTATTGCTGTGTTTTACTAATAAATAATTATTACTGTTTTTGATTTGCTGATTAGCTAAACAATCATCTTGACCTTTATTCACAGATTGAAGTATTTGCCTTATAGCATTTTACAATTGCAACATTTGACTGCTTTGTGGTTATCAGATAATCAGGTAAATGGTATTTATATTTCATAATTTAGTATTTATAGTTTCCTTTGAAACAGTATGCTTTAAACATAGCACTTGAACTGAAAATAAAGACATTGTGAAATTACTTCATAATATTGGGTTGTACATTTGATATTTTAATCATGAAGTATTGTATTGAATATGTTGCTGTGTTTCTGGTGAGGAAAATATTTTATTATTACTCTGCCCAGAAACTATGAAGAAAAAGAGAGGATTTTAGATACACAAAAAACTCTTCAGAGTAGTTATAACTCAGTTTCTTAACAAATATCTTCCCTTCCTTGTCTATAAAAGTGCAGTTTCAAATACAGTGAGTTAGATAATGTTTATTATATTTCTATAACAAGCCTTCCTTCCTTCCTTCCTTCCTTCCTTCCTTCCTTCCTTCCTTCCTTCCTTCCCTCCCTCCCTCCCTCCCTCCCTCCCTCCCTCCCTCTCTCTGGGCAGAAGGAAGTGAGGGAGGGAGGAAGGAAAGAAGGAAGGAAAATATTTTAGTAAATACAAATATAAAAGGCAGTTTTACTTACACAGTAAAACATATGCTTGTCTAATTGCTGGAAATTGAGTTCTTCGGTATTTTCATATGCAGAATGAATACATGAACTGTACTTGTTTCCTCATAGATTAAACACATAACATATTTAATATTCTACTTCATGATTTTTACTATTTTTTTACAAGCATAAATGATTTTGTAAATAAGCTCTCTCTAATGATCCACCTTATGTATAATGTGACCCACCTCACATTATATATCCATTGTGGTCCATAATTAAAGATGAATATTTTTTTACTTATTTATCAAATGTATACAGTTATCCAACTCACACATGTGTCTCTGGGCTGCTTACCAAATATGCAGGATTATAGGCTGCTCTTGCTAATTTTGCTGGTGGCCAATTCGAATTAGTGTGTTTATGTGTGTATATGTGGTGTGTGAGTGTGTGTGTGTGTGTGTGTGTGTGAAAGAGAGAGAGAGAGAGAGAGAGAGAATCTTGTGTTTGTGTGTATGTGTGTTTGTATAATTTATTTCAACACATGTTTATCTTACAGTTATAAGTAGAACAATTTTTAGATATTCTTTTGTTATCAATACAACATTTACTTTGTATCTGAACAGTTATTTTTAAAAACTTCCAGTGTTGGAGCATTCATAACTTCTGGAGGCAGATTCTTCCACTGATCAATTGTTCTAACTGTCAGGAAATTTCTCCTTAGTTCTAGGTTGCTTCTCTCTTTGATTAGTTTCCATCCATTGCGTCTTGTCCTGCCTTCAGGTGCTCTAGAGAATAGCTTGACTCCCTCTTTTTTTTTTTTTTTTGGCAACCCCTGAGATATTGGAACACTGCTATCATGTCCCCCCTTGAACTTCTCTTCATTAGACTAGACTAGGGGTAGGCAACCTCGGCTCTTTTATGACTCATGGACTTCAACTCCCAGAATTCCTGAGCCAGCTATGTTGGCTCAGGAATTCTGGGAGTTGAAGTCCATGAGTCATAAAAGAGACAAGGTTGCCTACCCCTGAACTAGACATACCCAATTCCAGCAACTGTTCTTTATATGTTTTAGCCTCCAGTCCCTTAATCATCTTTGTTGTTCTTCTCTGTACTCTTTCTAAAGCAGTGGTGGCGAACCTATGGCACACGTGCCAGAGGCGGCACTCAAAGCCCTATCTGTGGCCCTGTGGCCCCCTCCTCACCAGCAGCCCCCCTGGAGGAGAGTCGCCCCCAGGCAAGGCCCACACAGAGCAGCGCAGCCAAGGACATAGCCGGGCAGCAGGGACAAGACTTCACCCTTGCACCCCATAGTGTGCAGATGATGCTGCAGGGTGTGGGCAGAGGCCGTGGCTGCCATGGTGCAGGGCTGCCTGGGCAATCTGCTGTGGCAGGCCATGGAGGCAGTGCGTGGCCCTTTGGGTGGGTGGGGGAGGGGGCGGGGGGGAGCAGGCAGGGCAGGAGGCGGAGTGGAGGCGGGGGGAGGGTTTGGGGCATTCGGTCTCTAAAAGGCTCACCATCACTGTTCTAGAGTCTCAACATCTTTTTTACATTGTGGTGACCAAAATAACAACAACAACAAAATGACAGAGCAAATATAGTAAATTAAGTTTGGGAGCTGCATACAGTTCTATCTTTTATCACTATACCTTCAGCGATGAGATAGGTTTCTGTGGAGTCAGGCACAAGCAGACCTTGTTGCTTTCTCCTATGCTAGCAGATTTCTGCCCCTTGGAGATCTGTAGACGAGAGTCCTTTAATAATCCAGAGCAGATTTTGAACTGGTCTCAAAGAACCATATTTTAATGTTTTACAGCAGTGGTTCTCAACCTGTGGGTCGGGACCCCATTTGGGGTCGAACGACCATTTCACGGAGGTTGCCAAACAACGCAGTCCGCCATTTTTTCCCCCTTTTCCTTAGCTGTGCTACTCCCTTTTATTCTATTGGCTTTTGAAAGCCAATAGAATAGACTCTCTTGAATAGAGTCTAATTCTATTGGCTTTCAAAAGCCAATAGGAATTGTCCAGGCTGTCTCTGCCCTGCTGAGCCCGCCAAAAGTCCCATTCTGCAAACGGTGCTGCACCAGTTGAGTAGTCCTCGACTTACGACTGGTTGAGTAGTCCTCGCCTTACGACCGGTTGGGGGGTCGCAGCATTAAAAAGGTTGAGAACCACTGTTTTACAGCAAGGTATATCAATAATTAGATGAAAAGGAAAATGAATTATAGTAGTTTAACTTGCATAATTTATGTATGCATTCATAATTGTTCCTTCCTTCCTTTCATTTACAGTCTAAACCTCTCATTCCACTTCAAAAAGAAGTTGATCCAGAAACACAGGAAACCGTTGTTACTAATTATATGTTCCCACAACAACCAAGATCTGAAGATGGTAAGAATGATATTTATTGATTATTTTACAAATTGCTACTTGGAATTTAAAAAATGCTAAGTGTGGATTAGTTTGCCTGACCTTAGAAATTCAAAACACCTGCAAAAGTCTTAAACATGTCTCATTGGAGAAACAAGTATTAACAATATTTAAATTCTGTAGCTCTCACCAGTATGGATGTGTTAATAGTGATATGATAACCATTAGGATTCTGAAAGATTTTTGGGGTTTGGCAAATTATAAACTTGTGACACAGCATCTAAACCAGGGCTTTGCAACCAGTGGTACGCGTACCACCTGTGGTACTTTGCCACGTGGCAGGTGATAATCGACCATCCTAGAGAAGTGTAGTGAGGGAGGGGAATGAGCTGAAGCGACCCAAGTCTGAGGGAGAGGCAGCTGCAGCTACAGGACTGTCTGGGCTCGGCAGAAGACCGAGGAGCCGGCAGGGCTCCAGTTGGTTGGCGCTTCCAGAAGCAGCGCGTAGCTGGAGGTGAACTGAAGAAAAGGGGGGGAGGAGAGGAGAGTCTATAAAAGGGAGGTGGTTTGGGTGGGAAAGGGGAAAGAGAAGTAGAGTTCAGCAGGCAGGGAGGAAACAGGGACAGGGAAGAAGCAGCAGTTGTTGCTGGAAGAAAAGGTCCCCTGGTTCATTTTCTCCATTCAGGAGAATGCAATCAACACTGATGAAATAAAAAGCCATCAGACGAGCATGTAGGAAAGGAGGTGGGTTTGTTTAGTTCTGGATCAGCTGGCAGCTTGATTGGGTTACCATAAGGATTTTTGTACAGTTTTTACAACGTTTGGTAATTCAGCGGCTTGGTTTGTGTGCTTTGGTTATTGAAATATTTTAGTCTGTATTTTAGGCTAGCAATGAGTCCAAAGTGTTGACTTCTGTAGGTTTAATCCCTTTAAACAAATCTAATTAGTTTTACCCCCTTATCTTGAATCTGCCTATGGCTTTTAGAAAATTTTCTTTAAAGGTAAACAGGCTTAATTTAAGGCTAAAGCTTTTTGCAATTGCCAGAACCTTTCAGTCTCGAGTTGCAACATTGTGACAGGTGGCATGCCTGAGGCAGCTTAAAGAAACAAAACCGGAGTTTATGTGTTTCTTTATTTTGTGAGCATTTCTTGCTTTGCACTTGATTTCTGTGTCTTTAAGGGTACAAGGAAGGGATGGGGGGGGGATGTGTTCTTACTACACTGTGGAAAGAGCTTAGAAGGGAGAGAGGGCTGACCAGCTAGCTCAGGGGTCTACAAATTTAGCAACTTTAAGACCTGTGGACTTCAACTCCCAGAATTCCTTAACAAGCCATGATGGGTGAGGAATTCTGGGAAAGTCCACAAGTCTTAAAAGTGCCAAGTTTGAAGACCCCTGAGCTAGCTGGTAGTGGTGCATCATAATAAACATGGATAAATTCATCATACATTTGTCAGTGCAAATGGAAAGTGATTCAGCAAAGGAATAACCACCAAAGGAATTAAAACTGGTACTTTTTTCCTTTTTTTCTACAGTTTGTAATATTTTATTAGATTATAGAATAAAATACAAAAATACAAAAGCAAATAGTAGGACCCAGTGTGGAGGAAAAAGAGGGAAAAAGTGAGGGGGAGAAGGGAAAAAGAACAGACTTCCTCTATCATAGTAGAAGGAAGCATTAACATTGAGTCTCAGCTTTTTACTTTTCCATAATATTATAAACTAGCCATTTCTATAACAACAAATGAATCTAATCAGTAAAACCCAAAATCCCCCCCCCCTTTTTTTTAGTCATCAAGTTTTTGACACCTTGCTAAGCACTGGTGGTACTGAAATATTGTCATATCCTAAAAGTGGTACAATATGTGAAAAGGTTGAAAAGCCCTGATCTAAACAACTGCTGTTTATAGGCACATTACACTGTAACTGTACAGCACGTATAAATAAATGTCGTTTGTGTCTATGTTCTGGCCATAGTCACGCATTGAGTAAAGAATAAGTTGAAAGATATGGCTCAGATTAAAATTAGTAGCCGAAATCTACTGTCTCATATAAAATAAAAAAAAAACAAGGTACAAGTTAAACTGCATATAGAAGAAGCCCTCATGAAGTGATTGGGAGCTGCCTGAAGTTTTGCCTTCTGGAATCCATTAGGAATGGAACCACATTATCTATTTTATAAATTAATTCATTCTTTATAAAGTGTTTATAATTGGGATGACAAGATGCATAGATTCATTGTGCATAATTTCTCTCATTACTATTTATAAACATAGATAATTGAAGCCCCTAGGACAGTCTGACTGTAATATCTGGTCCAAAATATAAATTAACAAATTTGAAAAAACAAGTGGTTGTTTCTTCAGCAGTCTTTCAGTTGTAGAGAATACTGAAATTGTGATACTCAGAGCAATTAGTAAAGGTAGTCCTTATGATGATAATGGAGTCTGCCAATGTGTCATAAGTCATGGCAGTCATAAAGCAGGCCCTCACATGACTGACGTGATTTTATGATCTTGTTTGTGACGGTTGTTAAGCAAACACCATACTTATAAAGTGACTTATAAAGTGACTGCTGCAGTTGTTAAATGACCACCAGGGTCCTTAACAAACTCATTATTCACTGTCAGGCGTTTTTGCTGAAAACCAAAAGTAAATGCCATTTTTCGCAGGATGCTGTAAACAGCCATAAATGTAGGCAAGCTACCTGGCGCCCAGAATGCAGTCACATGATTTGGGGGGAGGGGGGGAGAAGAAGAACTGGGTTTGTAAGTACCTTTTGGCTGGGGAAGGTTCCGGTGTAACTTTGAATGAAATGATCACCAAATGTCATTAGTTGAGGACTGACTCTATAAAGATTTTGTTTTATTTAAACAAGATTAAGTGATCATCTTGAATTTTCAGATCTAAGTATTTTTCATTTGATTTCAGTAAAGTTTATTACATCTTAAGTACCTCTGTTGCCAGGTAGCAGTGGAAATGGAAACTTCATTTCCAATTTGAGCTTGAGTTAGCTGTTTATATTGTATTCAGTCTGTTTTGTTAAGAAGGTTATTAAGAAATGCTACCTGTTGTGTGAATTACTTTATTTGCTCTAACTTACCTTTACACTTTTATTCAGTTATGTTCATATCTGATAACGAGAGCTTCAATCCTTCACTGTGGGAGGAGCAAAGGAAACAGCGTGCTCAGGTGGCTTTTGAATGTGATGAAGATAAAGATGAAAGAGAGGCACCGCCTAGAGTAAGTATTTGCTTTATTTTGTTATCCTGTCTTCAGTTCATCCTTTATAGATAAAAAACAAGCTGCTTTGGATGTAATATTTTGCTGAGGTGGATAATCTATAGCAATAGCACTAGACTTATATACCGCTTCACAGTGCTTTACAGCCCTCTCTAAGCAATTTACAGAGTCGGCCTATTGCCCCCAAACATCTGGATCCTCATTTTATTGATCTTGGAAGGATGGAAGGCTGAGTTAACCTTGAGCAGCTCGGAATCAAACTCCTGGAGTGAGCAGTGAGTTAACCCGCAGTACTGTATTCTAAGCACTGCACCACCACGGCTGTCTCATTTGATCTGATGGAATGGGCAGATAATCTCAGGAAGTGGTGGTCCTACAAATAACCTGCTTCTGGTGTCTTGTAGAGCTTTAAAGGTGATAACCAGCACCTTACATTGTACCTGCAAGAAAACTGAGCCAGCGCAGCTTGCATATCAGGCATGTAACATGAGCAAACTGAGGGGTGGTGGCCAACACTTCCGAATGGTCTTCAAAGGCAGCCCCATGTATAGCACATTGTAGCAGTCCAGATGGAAAGTGACCAAGCTGTGAGTGTTGTTATAGATAGCCCTCACTTAATGACCATTTGAAGTTATGTCAGCCCCAGAAATAGTGGTTTACATCCTTTACAGCCTGTAAAGCACTTTTGACAGTCATAAAATGCATCTCCCCCCCCCACACACACATCACATTTTGGGTGCTTGGCAGCTGGTTCACATTTATGACTAGTTGCAGCATCCTGTAGTTACATGACTGCAATTTGTGATATTTCTGACAGAAAACAGCAAAAAAATTCCATTGGATATGCTGAATTCACTTATCAAATACGTGGTTTGCTTAATGTCTGGCGATTTGCTTAACGATTGCTATAAAAATGGTTATAAAATAGAATCGGGTCACATGGTGACCCACTTAACAGCTGCCCTGATTTACAGCCAAAATTCTATATCCTTTGCAATAGTAAATTGAGGAGTAACCTATACTTACTGTATTAATCAAAATATGGAACATTCTTTGCTGCAATTTATAACTGGTTAATTTTAAAATTGATTTATTTTATATAGGAGGGTAATTTGAAGAGGTATCCAACACCTTACCCTGATGAACTGAAGAATATGGTCAAAACTGTTCAAACAATAGTACACAGATTAAAAGATGAAGAAAACACAGTTGAAACTAATAAAGAAGCAAAGCAAGAAAGCCAGCAAGTTGCAGTAAAGGATATAGGAGTAAAGGTTAGATTCAGTGTTATGCTTGAAATTGTCTAACTTTTCACCACACGTTCATTAAAAATTATTAAGAGCTACTAATATTTGAACTGTATAATTTTTATTTTAATTATAGTTATTGTGAAGATAATTTAAAAAAACTTATTAACAACATTCTGTACATTTTATAAGTTGTTCATCCAAGATAAATATATTAGAACTACATTATGTATTTTGCAATTTTGGTCAGTGATAATTAAATAATAAAATAATTAATTTTGGTTAATTATTTAGACTTCAGAAATTACTCCAGTGAAAAACAAAATGGAAAACGAGCAGAATATTATGGGAAACTGTGTGCAGAAACTTAATGAATCAGATGATGAGAACAGTATCAGAAACTCACAGGTGAACAATCAAGTTAAAGTCACAGAAAATGTGAAGCCAATTGTTAACCATGAAGATACTTTGGAGGTATTTTATATATTTCTATGCTTTATTCTCTATCATCGTGGCATTAAATTCGGATAAAACATGAGGAGTATAATATAATTTTAAATATTTATTTTTTTATAAATCTAAAACAATAACTAAACTCCCACGCATATTTCATACAGTAATCGTATACATGCATCCTAAAAATAAAAATAGACTAATCCTATACATGTCTCCCAAACCAGACCATGCATTTGAGTAGTCATGCATAGGAGTGATCTATTAGTTACCAACGTCAAACTTTTTACTGAATAGTAAATTTTAATAAATGTGAATAATAATTTACCTAATTGTGTAACAAATTTCAAAAATATATTTTTATTATGTCTGTGCAAATAAAATGTGATTCTCCTATTGCTGTTATTTTTACTGTCCTAGCTTTATATGAGAATTTAGATTAGAAAAAATTCAATCAGCATGGTTAAAAGAAGTCAGGTATAATAAATGTTTCATTTATATAGCCTCAGGTTAGATTAGCGCAAATATGCTATATACTATTACTACTAGTATTTAATATGGAAAATACATTTTTCAGTGCATTCCATATTTTACTATCTTAAATTAAAACACCCACTGAACTTTGAGATAACATTCTTGCAGTCTTTGATGGCAAAGTCTTCTGAAGACCAGTTTTCCAAATACAGCTATATGCCTCTTATGGAGCTGCTTTTGTGACAAATCTTTTAAGGCAGGGGTCCCCAACCATCAGTCCATGGCCTGTTAAGAATCAGATTGAACAGCTGGGATGAGCAGTGGGTAAGCAAGCAAAACCGAAAACATCCCCTCCGGTCCTTGAAAAAAATTGCCTTCCACAAAACCTGTCTCTGGTGCCAAAAAGGCTGGAGACCGCTTGCTGCTTTAAGATCTTTGTATTAATATAAAAGGCTTTTAAAATAGATTATAATTATGTAGACGAACCTGATGTTCATCTTTTTTTTTTACAGGAATCAGAAGAACTATCTTCTGATGAAGAAATGAAAGTAGCAGAAATGAGACCACCTCTCATAGAAACTTCCATTAACCAACCAAAAGTAGTAGCACTTGGCAATAGCAAAAAAGGTAGGCATTTATTTAGTGATAAATGCTTTAAAAAGATCTGTTTCTCTGAGATGACTAAAAGTTACAAATAGAGCAGTGGTTCTCAACCTGTGGGTTGGGACTCCATTTGGGGTCGAACGACCATTTCATGGGGGTCGCCAAACAACGCAGTCCACCATTTCCCCCCCCCCTTTTCCTTAGCTGTGCTACTCCCTTTTATTCTATTGGCTTTTGAAAGCCAATAGAATAGACTCTCTTGAATAGAGTCTAATTCTATTGGCTTTCAAAAGCCAATAGGAATTGTCCAGGCTGTCTCTGCCCTGCTGAGCCTGCCAAAAGTCCCATTCTGCAAACGGTGCTGCACCAATTGAGTAGTCCTCGACTTACAACCGGTTGAGTAGTCCTCGACTTACGACCAGTTGGGGGTCGCGCCATTAAAAAGGTTGAGAACCACTGAAATAGAGTTTTGCATGAAAAGTAGCATAAAAATAAATTTATATTCATATATTTTTTTTACTTACACTCCTTCAGTCGTTTGTGCCTGGACTGAAGCTATTAGGAAACAAGAGAGACCCCAGTGCTATGTAAAGGCAGATCAGTGTGCTTAAATTTGATTTTGCCACTGTTGCCAGTATTCTACCTTACTTCAGTGCTTATTGTTTGGGTTTATTATAACTTGTTGTCTTCCATGTCTTCAATTTTATATTAAACTAAATAAGCCAATCTGCAACTATTTATTATAATTTACAGCCTAGTTTATTTGATATGCTGATTATTACCTATGTTTTGTTTATTTCCTGCTTTTCTGCTTTATTGGTTATTCAGTATTGTATTATCTTAATTTTGGGGTTTTTTAAATACAAGTAATTAGTACAAATATTGTTAGATTAGCTATTTTGTTATTTGTATGCTTTAAATTTCTAATTTTTAAAAAAGTGTTCTTCAATGCATTTGCTATTTTGTAGGATTTGAACACAGAATTTGTCAGATATTTTCACTGTTAAGAAATGGTCAAATATTTTTATTTAACAAACTGCTGCCTCAGGATTTCATATATTTTAAATATATTCTGCCCCAAGCTGAATACAGATAGTCCTAGAGTTATAACTGCAATTGAGCCCCAAATTTATGATGCTAAGTGAGACATTTGCTAAGTGAGTTTTGCCCCATTTTGCAACTTTCTTGCCATACTTGTTAAGTGAATCATTGCAGTTTAGTCACATGGTTGTTAAGCCAAGCATCTGAATTTTGATAATATGACCATGGAGATGCTGCAACAGTTGTGTGAAAAAATATCATAAATCACTTTTTTCAGTGCTGTTGTAACTTTGAACAGTCACTAAATGAATTGTTGTAAGTCGATCACTTCCTCTATTTCAAGTGAAATTGAATACTTTTGCATAAAGCTGAATGTTCCAGGAAAAGTCATGCAAATTACAAAACAAAGATGAATATTATTAGAAATGAGAACTATACGGAGCCATTAAATATGACTTACTATGAAATCAGAATATTATAGAACCATTTGGGAGGAAGGAGTATCTTTAGCCTAATTCCAGTAGAGAAATGCTGTTTCTTCAGCCTATTCAAACTTAAAATCATTTAGGTAGTTAAGCATATTTAGTAGAGTTGTATCAGCCATTCAGAGATGTTCTTCAAAAAAATAGAAGTGTTTTTCTTAAGTTATTCCCCAAACTACCAGGTTATTGTGACTTTTCTGCCAGTTTACTGGTACTCTGGTGGACATTCCTTTGAGAGGACATGGTGCTTCAATCTGCAGATTTGGAGAAGACTCACTCAATTCCAGGAAGGTGTTCCTTCAGATGAATCACAAAGACCCTGAAATTTACTGGCTATGAAAAGTCATATGTAAAGTGAATGTGTACTATAGATATACATTTGCATGAGTTAGTAATATGAATATGCTAAATTAAATTAAATTATTTTCAGATGACAATAAAGCAGTAGATTCTTCATCTGATGATCCAACCCATAACAGCAATCAGAATAATAGCAATTGTTCCTCTCCTTCCCGAATGTCAGATTCAGAATCTCTAAATACTGACAGTAGCCAAGAAGCATCATTGTGTTCTCCAGACAGAGAAATTACCATGACTGTCAATACCAAAATCAGGTTTGAGAAATATTATAGTATGTCATAAGACTTTAAAATAATGATAAAATGTTTCTTTTTCCATTTTTCTATCCTCTGCAATTTTGTATCATCTGCAAATTTAATAAGAATTGTCTCTACCTCTTCATAATTGTCATGGCATCGAGTATACTTAATTAGCTTGTTAATCAGAATATTGTGAGGTACTTGTACGGTTTGCTAAAGTCAACATATATTCTGGCTACCTCATTCCTTCAATTCATTAACAAAGTAACCCAATCAAAGAAATGCAGTAAGATTAATTAAGTTCTTGACAAATCTGTACATTACATAGTTTTCAAGATGTTATAAGAATTAACTCTATAAATTTCTGAAATATCTTTCTAAATACTAATATCAGTCGGATTGAGTTTCTGGATATTCCTTTGCATGTTTTTGAAAACAGAGCAACATTTCCTATCCTCCAGATACGTGGTATGTCACCAGTTCTCCAGGATTGCTCAAAGAAGGGTTCAGCTAGGCCAGGGGTAGGCAACCTTGGCTCTTTTATGACTCGTGGACTTCAACTCCCAGAATTCCTGAGCCAGCCAAGCTGGCTCAGGAATTCTGGGAGTTGAAGTCCACGAGTCATAAAAGAGCCAAGGTTGCCTACCCCTGAGCTGGGCCATTAACTGATTCCACTATCTTGTTTTGAAGATTTAAATTTATTCAGAATAAAGAGATAGTCCTTGACAATGTTTCTGTTTGTGTAAAGCTTCAGACTGCCCCTTCATCATACAATTCACAATTTACTGGTGTATCACATTGTTCATTTATTTGTTAGAAAATACTGAAAAGATGTTTAATCCCATTATCAGCTTAGATAAGTTCTACTGCTTCCCCTTGCCTTGGTTGTCTGATACCTCTTCATTGCTCCCCCCCCCACTTATTGCTCCCTCTGTTTGCCTTGTGGTAAAAAAATATTTTTTTTTCTGCAATGTCTCCTTGTTTCAGTATTTTATTTTTTTAGTTTTATTTTAATAAAAATGAATGATCAAATGATTTAAAACAAATTCTTGAAGAGTATTTTAAATTGATATTTAATCAACTTTTTGATTGTACAGTATTTACAATGGTTTACTATATTGGTATGATTACTATGTGAAATTGAATGCAGACTTAAGTAAAATCTATTGAAATCAATGGATCTTGAGTCCATTTCTTTTGTCTCTACACGTTTATCTAATCTGGCTTAATGCTACTGTCTTTTAAAATGCATTTATCAAATGTGGTCATTTTATAAAATTGCTCTTATATTTATGATTGCTTTATTTTACAGGGAAGAAGATGAAAATTCTAACAGTCTTTTACAAAATGGAGAAGCAAATGTTCTGATAGAAGAAAAATTGAACTCTCAAGATAAAATTACAAATCTATCTGAATTCAGTTTAAATATTGAGAAGAAATTAGCTTTACTAGAGAAAAGTGTTGAACTAAACAATGCCACTGATGAGTCTCATAACTTGCATCAGATCAACAGGAATATTTGCAAATTAGCTGAAGAGGGACTACAATCTAATGTAGTGAATCAAATAAAATCAACAGAAATGTCAATTAAGGACTTGATAAATGACCATATGAAAGAAGAAATTGAACAGTTGGAAAATGAAAATAAATATTCAAATGTATGTCCAGTAAATAGTATCAATGGACATTCTGAAGACATGCCACATACTGCAGGAAAATCAGAGCTAAAGAGAAGTGCCAGCATTGATACTGATTCTTCTTCAGAATTGTGTCTTTCAAAAAGTACTGAAGACTTGTCTCCACAGAGGAGTGGGCCAGTGGTGAAATCCCATAGCATAACTAACATGGAGACAGGTGCTCTAAAAGTCTGTGATATTATAAATGACAGTGGATCTCAGCACGCCAATCCTGCAATAAAATCAGCAGGTATGGCTGCAGATGGAAAAAATATAGTCCGGAGTAAGTCAGCTACTCTCCTATATGATCAGCCATTACAAGTGTTTCCTGGATGTTCATCATCCTCTGATTTAGTATCTACAAAAACAGCAATTAAATTTGATTTCAATCATAATCCTGAAGATACCAATACAATTAAAGGGCAAGGACCGAATTCTCCACAACCATTCACTACCCCCCAATATAATATACAATATAGCAGCAATATTGTACCTAAAGAGTCTTTGTGGCTCCAAAAACAAAATCCTATAGCCGAACAAAGTTGTTTGTCCTCTCAGCGCTTACCAAGGCTGGATAGTACGGAGAGCTGTACTTCTGCAAAACATTCAGCCAATATGAATTTCTCTAACCATAATAATGTTAGAGCTAGTGCTGCCTACAATATGCATCAAAGGATGGGTGGTAGGCATATGGAAATGTGGGCTGTTTCACCAAATGACAGGCATCCTTCTAGTGCAACGCGAAATACTCTTCAGCGACAGAGTAGTGTGTCTTCTACTGCTTCAGTTAATGTTGATTCTGGATCTTCACGCCGTCCTCTGGTTTCTGAGGGGGATTATTTAACGTATAGGGATTTGCATTCAGTGGGAAGAGTCCCACCCAAATTGTCAGGGCAACAGAGACCTCTTTCTGCAAGAACACATAGCATTGATGGACCAAATGTAACCCGACCTCAGAGTGCCCGTCCTTCAGCAAATGATATACCAGAGAGAACTATGTCAGTCAGTGACTTCAATTACTCAAGGACTAGTCCGTCTAAAAGAACAAATCCAAGAGTTAATTCTGAATACTCTCTGATAGATCCTACTGGAAAAAATAAAGTTCCTCATGACTGGAGGGAACAAGTACTACGGCACATAGAGGCCAAAAAGTTAGAAAAGGTAAGCAATTTTACTTCTTCTTGAACCCAGCAGTCTCTTTTTTATTAAGCTGGTAAAAGTCTGCCATTTAAAGAATATGGTTGTGATATTATAGTTTAAAATTTCAAAAATTTGTTTAGTAATAAACTCATTTCATAAAATAGGTAAGTTAGCTTTAGGAATAGTCGGCTAGATGTTTTATTATAATACGTAGTATGATTTGTATAGAAGGAAGAACTCTAAAATCATCAAGAAAATTATTACCATAAAGTTTAACATTAATCACATCTAAGCAGATGAAACTATAACCATCTTCAGCAGCATGTTTGAAATACCGAGATAATATAATATCCTACCAAAGTGACATGGTTATTACTTTGCTGATAATACATTTTTGTGAAAGTGATAAGTATCAAATATATACTTACTTCCCAAGAGCTGATAGTAATTTTTCAAATAATTTAACTTTTCTGGGGTACTAGGAAAGTGAAAATATACAAGTAATCCTCAATTTACAACCAGTCACTTATTAGATGTTTGAAATTACAATCAGTTTCCCCAAGCTATTTAAAGAACTAAATTCAAAATTCCTGGCAGCAGTCACAAAAAAGATCATAAAATCAGTCACATGGTAACCCACTTAATGACCGGAAAAACTTATGACCATAATTCCAGACCCAATTATGGTTGAATATCAAGGTCTACGTATATCTATCTAGTAACACGGTAACTTGATTTTAAGATAAATTCAATCTAATATGTCTTTGTAAAAGTTCACATAGAAATTTCATCAGGCTGGGGTTTTTTTTTTTGTTCCCAGTCTCTACTTATTCTTACACAAATATTGATCTTTGTATTGATCTCTTTTGTACCATGTTGCCTTTCCATATGTTTCCAGCCCCCCCCCCCAATATGGAGTTGGTGAAAATGTGGATCACAAGAACTTGTATTTTCTAGTTTTCTGATATAACAGTAAAGGATTAGAGGAAAACTGATATGATAAACGGTTAAATATAAGACTAATTTGGCTTCATGTATGACATTGAAGACTATTAGTACAGGGCTTTTCAACCTTTTCACAGATTGTACCACTTTTAGGACATGACAATTTTTGAGTACCACCAGTGCTTAGCAAGGTGTCAAACACTTGATGACTAAAAAAAAAAGGGGGGGGGATTTTGGGTTTTACTGATTAGATTCATTTGTTGTTATAGAAATGGCTAGTTTAAAATATTATGGAAAAGTAAAAAGTTGAGGTTCAATGTTAATGCTTCCTTCTACTGCAACAGAGCAAGTCTGTTCTTTTTTCCTTTCCCCACTCACTTTTCCCCCCTTTTTCCTCCCCACTGGGTCCTACTATTTGCTTTTGTATTTTATTCTATAATCTAATAAAATATTACAAACTGTAGAAAAAAAGAAAAAAAAGTACCAGTTTTAATTCCTTCGGTGGCTGTTCCTTTGCTGAATCACTTTCCCTTTGCACTGACAAATGTACGATGAATTTATCCATGTTTATTATTATGCACCACTGCCAGCTAGCTCAGGGGTGATTTACACTTTTTAAAAACATTTACGAACACACACGCATGCAAATTCATACATATACCAAGACAGAAGAGTGATGACAAAGAAAACCCAGAGGGGAACCAAAAGGACAAAGGACATCAGTCATCCTTGCCAAAGACTCAGCAAGTTAGTATTTGTATGTGTGTGTATTTATACATGGAAATACATTATGGCGTGTAAATGATTGGTTTGTGTGGCTCATATCCCTTGATGTTGGTCTGTTCTGGTAGGGGTCAACATCCTCCTAGTAGGTCTTCAGCAATTATATCTTATATTTATTTATAATGTTGGATGTTTCAGGTACTATTTTCCTTTAAATGTAGATTTGCAGATTGACGTTTCTGGTTTATGAACCTTATATATTACTGTTGGGGGCATACTGTCAGCCATATGTTTAGTCTGAATTTGGCATTTTATCCACCTATGAAGTCCTTCCCAGGACAGATATTGTTGGATGATATTAAAGGTATTGTTGCAAGATATAAACTGTTCAAAGTAAACTGCTTTTTGCAACTGATTGATGAGGATTTTGTCAATGCTGTTGATGTTCAAGTGGTGCTCCAGAGATTTTGAGATTATACCCAGGCTGCTTATTACTACTGGCACTATATTTGCTTTCTTTTGTCATTCTACTTCTATTTGCAGGTCTTTGTATATTATGATCTTTCTTCAGTTCTTTTTTGTATATCTGTTGTCTCCAGCAATTGCAACGTCTACTATCCAGATGTTTTGTCTGTTATTGATATTTTTTAAATGTGGGATGTTATGTGGCAGGTGTTTATGCATTTGAATTTTAAAATCCGAGACCATTTTAACTTCATTTTCTGTGATTTTATCTGTTTTGTGATCCCACCAATTCTTACTTACAGGCAAATGGCATTTCTTGCAGAACTTCTAATATACTACTGTTGTTATTTTATCATGCCGTGGTTTGTAGTCAATCTGTGCAGTCTTCTTGCAGCAGCTAAATGGTCCACTGTTTCTTCAGCTTCTTTGCAAAAGCAACACTTGGTGTTTATTGCTGTCTTCTCAATTTTGGCTTTGTATGCATTTGTTTTTAAGGCTTGGTCTTGTGCTGCTGTAATTAGGTCCTCAGTTTCTTTCTTCAACTTCCTGCTCTTAGCTATTACCAGACCTTATTGTTATCTGCTTTGTCTGCTATTTTTTTATGTACTAGCCCTGTAATGTTTTACCTTCCATGTCTCTTTTCTAGTCTTCATTTGGTCTTTCTTTAGGCCAGTTTGGTCTCTCTAGTACTCAGTAATCCTTCCTCATATATTAGCTTCAACATATCTTCTTCACTGCACTTCAGATATTCTCCTAGTGCCCTTTTTTCTTCTTCAACTGCCTGATGTACTTGCAAAATTCTACACCTACCTGTTTTCCTTTGTAAGTGGAGTCTATCAACATCACTGCATGGATAAAGGTCATGATTCATTGTCATCATTTTTTCTAATCTTCCCATCTACAGTTTTTACTTCTATATGAGTCCAGTCTACTATTCCAGCTGTGTATCTAATTACTGGAGTTGCCAAGTTCCTCCACTGAGTTTGGACTTTAAGATCTTTACTCTTATTCTGTATTCACTTCTAATGTTCTTGTTAAAGTGCTTCTAACCTTTGGTGTGTTTGATATTGTAAGCTTGAAGAATGCCAGGATCCTTGAAGGATCTTCATCCAGACTCTTGATGTTATTTCTAAAAGGAATTTTGATTCCTTCAGTTTTCATTACTTTCTCCCTATTGATCCTCACTTAATAATGACAACAGAGAGTTCTGGGACTGCCATTGATAAGCAATGCAGTCATATGATGTCATGTTTTATAACTGCATTGCTTTGTGATAAAAGTTCTGGTTCCAGTTGATTTTGTACATTTGCCAACTGACAAAGAAATGATCAGTCTATAGTTTTAATGGTAGATTTATTTTAATAGTGAGAGACAGAATAACAACCAAAAAAATCCAGAAAAATGCATTTCAAATAAGTTATAAATTGATTTGCATTTTAATGAGTGAAATAAGTATTTGATCCCCTATCAATCAGAAAGATTTCTGGCTCCCAGAACACTCTTAAAGAAAGTGTTCCTAATCTCAGCTTGTTACCTGTATAAAAGACAATCAATCAGATTCCAAACTCTCCACCATGGCCAAGACCAAAGAGCTGTCCAAGGATGTCAGGGACAAGACTGAAAACCTACACAGGGCTGGGATGGGCTACAAGACTATCACCAAGCAGCTTGGTGCGAAGGTGACTACAGTTGGTGCAATTATTCGCAAATGGAAGAAACACAAAATAACTGTCAATCTCCCTCGGTCTGGGGTTTCATGCAAGATCTCACCTCGTGGAGTTTCAGTGATCATGAGAATGGTGAGGAATCAGCCCAGAACTACACGAGAGGATCTTGACAATGATCTCAAGGCAGCTTGAACCATAGTCACCAAGAAAACAATTGGTAACACATTATCCCGTAAAGGACTGAAATCCTGCAGCACCCGCAAGGTCAGCTTGCTCAAGAAAGCATGTGTACAAGCCTATCTGAAGTTTGCCAATGAACATCTGAATGATTCAGAGGAGAACTGGGTGAAAGTGTTATAATCATATGAGACCAAAATTGAGCTCTTTGGCATCAACTCAACTCGCTGTGTTTGGAGGAGGAGGAATGCTGCCTATGACCCTAAGAACACCATCCCCACCGTCAAACATGGAGGTGGAAACATTATGCTTTGGGGGTGTTTTTCTGCTAAGCGGACAGGACAACTTCACCGCATCAAAGGGACGATGGATGGGGCCATGTTCCGTCAAATCTTGGGTGATTTGACAGCTTATTCCCTTAGCCAGGGCATTGAAAATGGGTCATGGATGACCCAAAACACACAGCCAAAGCAACAAAGGAATGGCTCAAGAAGAAACACATTAAGGTCCTGGAGTGGCCTACCCAGTCTCCAGACCTTAATTCCATAGAAAATCTGTGGAGGGAGCTGAAGGTTTGAGCTGCCAAACGTCAGCTTCAAAACTTTAATGACTTGGAGAGGATATGCAAAGAGGAATGGACAATATCCCTCCTGAGATGTGTGCAAACCTGGTGGCCAACTACAAGAAACGTCTAAACTCTGGTTGCCAACAAGGATTTTGCCACTAAGTAATGTTTTGTGAAAGGGTCAAATACTTATTTCACTCATTAAAATGCAAATCAATGTTAACACTGTTAATATAGGATATTATTGCTTTGACAAAATATATAGAACCGTCTAGTATTTTTAGAGTTAATTCAGATGACAGAGAAAGGGAGGAGATTTATAAGGAAAGCCCGGGGAAAAGGAATAGAAGTGAATCTTTGCCCTCTGGGTTAATTGGAAGATGTGACTTATGACCTAAAATAAGGGAGGGGTTTAGCAAGAAAAGCTAGATGCAAGCAAGAGAAATTCAGATTCTGGCATCCGTCCATCTGAAGTGCCA